CTCTCTCTCTCTCTCTCTCTCTCTCTCTCTCTCTCTCTCTCTCTCTCTCTCTCTGTCTGTCTGTCTCTGTCTCCTTTTTTCGATTTTATTGCACATCTGTAACTTTGTCATGGAAAAACAATTTTACAAACTGATTGAGAGGAAGCGAGCGTTCCCGGCGCCGTTTGGTATTGTGCGCCGAAGTGGGTCGCGAGAGTATTATCGACGCATAAATCTCGACTCCCGACTCCACGTGTATTGTGACGAAGGCGTCTCGTATCTCGCAATCGTCCCGATCTCACGCCTTGCGCCCTACTTCGGGGGGTTGGGGGAGGGGCGGTTTTGCGGGGGCAAAGAATCGCTCACCTTGCGGGTGAGCGGTTGGACCGACTGTACTGCGACGAATAGTTCCTGCGGATGCTCGTGAGGGTAGTAGTCGGCGAGTAGAAGCTGCAGAGTCGAATGAGTATGAACACTTTGACAACATAATACTGTGTTGGAGCAGTTTGGGACCTGCTATCGGCAGCGCGTTCCGTCGCTAGAATTCGGACTTGACACTGCGTAGTCGGTTGAATCGAAACGCTCCCCAGCTACGGGGACCGTTGACCGCGAGGATGTACCGCGACGGTGCACAGCGTCTTCCGTTCTCACTTCTCGCGTGAGCCACAGCCTCTAATTGTTAGATTAGCTAATTGCCGAATGAGAGCCGCGCAAATCAAGGCGTCGGGTAGAAGAGGAAGTGTCGCTTAGAGTGATTCTGTCAAGACACGCTCCTCGACGACGAAACTTGAGCGTTCAACCGAGTCTGCTGTCGCGCGGGCTTACTCGACATAAACTCGCGCGACACGACTGAATAAGCATGCGAGAATTGGCTGCTTCGTGAAGACGCAACGTGCGAAGACGCGCGCAAGCTGATGCAAGCTAATGCAGAGCGAGAAGAAACGAAGGGCGCTTTGACTGCGTTTCGTTTGACTGCCGATAATCGCCGATCCCGTGTGAATCATCGTAATCCTGAGCTCCGTGACACTGACTAACCTTCCTGGCGCGCAATAGGATCGTTTGTACTCCGAGGAGATGTAATTCGAGCGCAAACTCGAGCCCGCCGTGGACGACAGCGTATAGAAGCTGGTGGGCTGGTCAAGGATCGAGCTGGTGCCGCCGCTGGGCCGGAAACCGCTGAACTTGGACGAGGAGCTGCCGATGCCGCTGGTGGTGGTGGTGCCGGTGGTGCCACTCGAGTATCTCCGACTAGGTGAATGCGGCGCCATTGGGCTGGTACTATATGAAACTGCCACGGCACCCGCTTGCCCGCCGCGATGGTATGACATTGCGCCCGGGTCGCCGCCAATCTCTCGCTTATCCTTCTTGAAGTTCCTGAAATAACACAATGATATCAATAAGCGATGCCAATGTAATATTTATACCTTGAGAGAAAGAAGCACCAACGACCGTGTCTTTGGTTCTCGTTGATTAAGGAACGTAATCATCGAGGGCCCATACGCGAAAAGAAAAAATGCTGTTGTATAGAAATTGATAGAAATTGCTGACGTCGCCGTAATTGGCGTAAATCTTTTTTAATTCAACAACAATGCCGCTGAAACTAATACTTGAGTCATCGAACAATATATGATATATTGCTTTCGGTAGTATGTATTGCTGTTGAATCAAGAAGATTTACTCCAACTACGGCGATGTTGGTAATTTCTCTCGACACAACAGCATTTTTCCGCCGTGTGTCAGCTTACACTTGAGACTTGTCTCGAGTAAGATACTTTGATTTTTATTCAGAGTTAGATTCAGACTTTTCAGTTGAATAGTGCAATACAGCATGTGACATTTGTATCTGCGATTGTAATTTAACTGACAAATTTTCATCTGACTCTGAAATGAAATGTCTCACTTGAGCGGAATTTCAAGTGACAACTATTAATATATACGAACCTCAGAAACCTGAAATCCGCAGATGTTTCGCAAAACGGCATTCACTATATCGACTAAATATTGACAAATGGATGCTATAGCGGGTAAGGAATCAAAAATTGATGATCGAACTTTCTGTCTCTCTCAGAGAATTTCTCGATTCAGAAATATCTACAGATTCTACCGATACGACTTCTTCGTTCTACGACTGAGAAAGTAGATCTACACCGGCCTTTTTCTCCTGCTTCCGACGTGTGCATGTAAAACAGACGTAAAAAAAACGTATCAATTGCTCTTAATCATTGCTTCTCGATAGAACACGCGAGGCCGATTACTGAATGATACATCATCCAGAGTCTCGCATGAGCGCACTTACCCGACATTAATCCGATAATTCGCGTCGAGAGCGTATAAAAATAATTAGCCAATTCGCGCACGTGTCACAATCTTAATATCAATCGGTACACATGCGTCAACAGCCGTATCGATAATTGTTGCACGGACACGACCTTCGTAATACTCGATAATCGCACGCGCGCCTAATAACGTAACACGGGCGCGCTCGTTGTTTTCCTGTCAGTATACCGCAAGTAGCGCAATACGGCGAGCTTAATTCGAGCTTCTGCTTGACCTCGTCCCTCCTACTCACTTACTCACTCACTCTTTCTGTCTGGAGTATATCGCCTTACCTTGTCCTCCTTTCTTACGGAACACCTGAGGATTACCATAGGAAAGAAACGATGCCGCGGTCCATCCAGTCGTCAAAGTCGATTATTGTGTTTACATGGATTTACTAAGGGGCAGAGAGGGAGGGGGCTTGTGTGCTCACGACTTATCGATTTGTTTAGTCTTTTACTAGCATGAAGCAACTGAACCACACGATTAACTGTACACAGACAAGAACACGGACATGCTTCTTGAGCATCACAAAGAAATTCGTTACAGCGAACGTTACTTGGCACAATGCTCCGACACACACACACACGCGCGCGCGCGCAAATCAATCAAGATAATCATCAATAAGTTTTGTAGAATAAAATAGCGTGAGCTTCTCGTCTTGAAGCACAAGATGGTCATTGCGCGGAATTCAATCGCAGAATCGAAGCCTCTCACAATCAATCCTCAGCGTATCTCTTCTTGCGCGTTTTTCTTTTTTGAGCAACAACGTTTGTAGAAGATTACACGTTCGTAGTGCGAGATTATTCCGGGGCCGGGAGTCTCTTTATCGGCGGACAAATATTTGAATGTTACGTCTAAACTTTGAATTTCTCGCTGATGCTTACGAGAGCGAGGGGTGCGCCCCCTAGTTTACACAGTCAACCAGAGTGTATCATCTCTATTACGAATTGTTGCGAAACTGAACGTATCATTTGGCAAATTTACTGTAGAAATCGTTACTCGGCAAATGATTCACCGTGAAAGAATTAACGCATCGTTCTGTACCCCGCGAGGATAAAAATAATAATAATAGCGGCAACAATTGGACACCGATCGACCGCCTGGTGCCCGCAGGAGATGAGAGAGGAGTCGTGTGCCCACCACTGTTATGCAGCTCCGGGGGATATCAATTATTTCCCGACTATGCAAAACTGCAGTGCCCTCCGCGTCTACGCTGGCAGTTCAGTAACACCGGCCGGGGTTTATATTTAGTCTCTATAAATAATGGCCCTAACGGGGTAATAACGGGCGCGAGATAATCGTCGGCGGAAATCGGGGAAAACACGCGCGTGCGCGAGCAACCGGACACACGTGGTGGTAGTGTCGATGGGGCGCGGACTTTTGACGCGCCGATTTATTCCCTCTCCCCCTCCCCTCCCCAACCGCGATCTGGCAGACGTCCCATTTTCCATCGTGGTCCGACGCGCAGAACGCGGAATCCGATATAAACCGTGTCGTTTCGGATTTCGTTACAAAGCCATCCTCGCGAGCAGGCGAGAGAGGGCGCGCGCGTAAACTCCTCAACGCGCGCGATATTTTGCAACGCTCGTTAAAAATAAAAATACCTCCGACGCGTCGCCACGCGCACCCACGGGCGCATGCATGAATTAAGGGTGCTCGTTGCGTTTGATCGCGCGCACGCGGTCGGGTGCTGCGACATTATTAGTCACGGTAAACGGTACGTGACGACGCAAATATTGGTCCGCAATCTCGACTATCTCTCTCTCTCTCTCTCTTCCTTTTTTTCTTTCGTTGACTCGCCTACGTCACGCTCAACAATGCAGGTTCAATTGGGATGGAAATTTTTGCTTGGAAGCCCCCGATGTGTGCGCTCTCGGTGCGCGACGGCGGTGGCAATGACGGCGTGCAGGCGGGATTTTTCAGGAAGTTACACGCCGACGAGGACGTGGAAAGGGACAACACGTACAACGACGTGTTGCGCGACACGTCGATACGCTAAGTGGAACTAATAGCCGCGTTTTGCGGCGTGTCACGCGGGAAAATCGAAGGCAACGTCCGGGTAACTCGAAAAAGGGGGAAAAGGAAGGAGAGCCGTTTACGTAAATTGTGAAGTAGGGACCACGTCGGACGCACGCGGCGGTGTTCGTCATGAGCGAAACTTTGCGGCAAATTACCGTCGTCGTGTCCTCTCACATACACACACGTACGAACGCACGCAAGCACACACGGACGAGCGTGTTTCCAAGAGCGGAGTCAATAACGATATTACGTAATCGCGTGCAAAGAACAATGAGAGTGATATAATTGAATTTTCGCGTCCATCAGAGTCGTTGAGATACCGTCCCCGACAATGTCGTCGTGCTCGTGAACACGCCGGGGGGTTAATCGTGAATGCCAAATACATCTTACACGAAGTCAAACTCGGAAGTGAAGCGCAGAGAAGAGCCCGGATATTCTCTCGCTTGACCACTGACGACCACTCGCGATACTGTAGCAATAACGTTACTGCAATGCATCGTGGTATACCCGGTGGATGCGTTGCTCGATCGAGATTGCAGTATTCGATTGCAATCTCGGTACACGCAAGTCCATACGATTAGATAGCGGCTTTACGCAACGAGATTCCATGTTTCTCATCCTTCTCGCGATGGCCCGCACTTGATTCGCTTCACTGATCCATGAGAGACCTTCGAGGTCCATTCAATCGCCGATTGCAATTTCAATCAACGCATATCGCTACGTGGAAGTAACTTACGCGATCGATATAAACGCTCGAGCTTTCCCGAGCAACATCACGGATCATGAATCTTTTCTCTCTGAATTTGTGAAAACTGGAAGTTTTCTAACCTGAAAGCACTTGGAAGTGTTCACGAATTTATGGTACAGGAAAAGATCCAACAACACATTTGCCATGGTCTGTTGTTTCCAGAGCCAATTCTTCAACAGTAGTTTAAACTCAGATATCAAATAAATTTCACTCGAAAATAATGTATTTTTGATACATTTGACCAGAGTTTGAACTTAAATTTAAATTGCTATTGAAAAATCGATGCAACGCTAACCCGTGGCTAAAGAGAAAAAAAGGAAGAAAACAGATCTATTTTGTCCTTGGCTCCGCGACATTTTCGGACGGCGTGATGTATTACGCGACACGTTACGATAATTGAAGAGGTCGCGCCGGCGTCTCCGGCAAGCGGCGATAATTCCCGCGACCCGCGCGTTTATATCGTTTCATTTCAATCGATACGCCAGCCTCGCGCGGATTACGTTTCGCGTGTTCTCATGGGGATGAAGGTATTAGCGGGAAGGTAATCGCCGAGCGAGTTCCCGGGAACGTCCGGGTCGGCTCCGCGAAGAAGAGGCGGATTCCGCGGGGGTTGGTCACGATTCAATTGCCTCGTGCAGGACACAACGCGCGTATTGTGACGTAACTCCGGCGTAACAGTTCCTTCGCGTGTTATTAATTAACCCGACGGCAATTTATCTCCGGCCGGCGGATAAACGTCGCGTCCGTTTGTCGTGGCCGGCATTAAACGCGCGAGGTTGAAAAAGTAGTGCAAGTACACACGTACGATATACGCGGCGCGATATACACTGTTAAATCCGTAGTGTCAAATTATACTCAATTTGAGTTATTTTTAACCATTCCTATAAGTCGCCACTGCTCCTACTAAATATGTCGTTAATTTAACTAATGTAATGGAGTTAAATAATTTAACTTAAGAAATGTATTAAATTTGACTAAAATTTAGTTTATTTTTTATTATGTGCACGTTAATGTAACCTTTGTTTTAGTAAAAAATAACTTAATATTGTTTTAAATGGGTTGATTGGTTGTTTTTTTAAACACATGTTTTGTGTTAAAATAGTATATTTTGACACACATGATAGTTAAAAATAACTAAATATTATTTAACTCAAGAAATTGGTTGAAATTTGACCCTCCAATATTTAACAGTGCGTATTTAGACGCGCTCGCTCAAGGACCATCTCCATGGTAGCACGGTTTATCGGCGAAAATCACACCGCAGCATCGACGCGTCAGTTAAGAGTCAAACATTTTTTTCTCAGTGCAAGTTGCATCTTACACTCTTGGAGTAAAACAAGTGTATAATCTGGCGTCGACGCGCGAAGGAACAGAGTTTCTGCACACCACTGGTTCCCAACTAAAGAAAAAAAAGACGCGAAATCTTGACGTTGCGTCACGGGAAAATTCGTCGCATCACTCGCGAGCGGCTATCCCGCATCTTAGGGAGGAGGAATGACCAGCGTCGTTTTTTCGGGCATCAAAGTTTGCTTGAAGAAAATCTGATTCCGCGAACGTTTCGCCGTTCTCCGTCGGAGGAAAATCAGATTCGCGACCCCGCGGGCGACAATTGAGTATCTTAGGACTGATAACCGTTTCTCCAGTCAGAGTTTGCAGAAGAATGAAGATCTACAGAGTGGTTGGCCGCTTTCTTCGCATGACTTGCAAGAGATAATTTAACATCTTGGAAGAGATAACACCGACAACAGAACTTTTTCAGTCTCTAGAAAATTTGGATCTGGCAGATACGTGTGAACGTTTCATCGCTCTCCATCGGAGAAAAATTCTACCCGTAACTCATGAGCGATAATTCAGTATCTTCTTGGAAAAAGAAAGGACTGACAACCGTTTCTTCAGAGTTTGAAGAAAATTCGCGAACGTTCCATCGTTTTCTGCTCGGAGGAAATTCGCCGCGTAAAGTAAAAATAAAAAGGAATGTCTAGACACTAATAATATTTTTATCTGGACATTCTTAAGTCCTTGTTAATAGTTGTCTCACTTGAAACTTGTCTCATGTGTGACATTTATATTTTCATTCACGGTTGAATCCAAGTTTATCAATTAAATAACAATATATGTGAGACGCCCGGTTGCACCAACGTTATTTTGATTTTAAGCAAGACTCAAGTATATGTCTGTCTCTATTTATTTAGAAAGAAAGACAAAAATAGACGCATGGTTAAGCCTCGCTTAAAGCCAAAATAACGTTGGCGCAACTGGATCTTATATCTGCAATTATGATTCAACTGAAAAACTCTCATTTAATTCTAAATCCACATCTGAAAATTTCATTTGAAACAAGTTGAAGTGAGTTTCGAATAACAATTGTTAATATAAACTTTGTTTTGGTTTCTAAATATGAATATTTAAACTTTAAAAAATGTCAAAGACATAGAATATATATATGCGTGTGTATATTTTTTTTGTTTATATTGAAAGTTTAAATATTTAAATTTAGAGATCAAAACAATGTATTGTATGAGAACTAAATACCAGTGTTATTATAAGTAATGGCACTTTCGTCTTGACTCGCAAGCGATAGTTGAGCATCTTTAAAGGGAAAGCAATAATCTGACATTTTGCGCGCGGCGTGGCGAGCAATAATGACTGTTTCTTCGGGTCTCGAGTTCCGCAGGAAGTTAGAAGCCGCGAATCCGTTGACCCGCTTTCCCAGGATTAATTCGCGCAGCAAAGCCCGTTCGATCCGCGTTACGTACGCGGGATTGATGGATGTGTTCCGACGACTTTAAGGTTTCGTCGGGAGCACGCTAGAGAGAAGCGGCTAATCGATATCCTATCTTGCGCAGCGGGCATAAACGAAATGGAAAACGACGGCGGCGAAACATTCTCGGCCACCCCCGGCTAACCCGACGGAAACCCTCTCTCGCTCCTTTCTCTTTTTCCCTCTTCATTCGTTCGGCAACGCGAATGCAACGAGCGTGTGCGACGCGGATCGATGCCGCGGCGTCGTAAGGTCAGTGTCGATTAATGTCATAAGCGGCTCGAAATCGCGGACTAGAATGTGTCACGATTTCATATTTAGCTCGTGCATCCGCGTCACGACACAAATAACTCCGCGGCTCGTTGTTCCTCCTCGCTTAAACGCGCGCTTTTACTTTCTCCTGATGTCTTTACACGACCAAGAAGAATGAGTCT